CTCCCCAAGATGGCATACAATCTGATATAGGCTCTACATACACATTCATATTAAGCATATTTTCACATTAGTCATGCTACAAAGAAGAAATAGAACTAATGGGAGGAACCATGAGAAGAAACAAAACAATAAAAGAAAAGAACAAACAGTATGCTTCCATCTTCATTCAGACACCATAGTTCTTTCTCTGGATATGGATAGCATTTTCCATCTTGAGTCTTTTGGAGTTATCTTAGATCCTTGCATTGCTGAGAAGAGCTAAGTCTCTCAAAGTCAGTCATTGCACAATGTGGCTGTTACTGTACAATGTTCTCCTGGTTCTGTCCATTTCACTCAGCATCAATTCATAAAAGTCTTTCCAGGCTTTTCTGAAGTCCACCTGCTCGTCGTTTCTTATGTCACAATAGTATTCCATTACATTCACATACCATAACTTGTTCAGCCATTCCCCAATTGATGGGTATCCTCTCAATTTCTAATTCTTTGCCACCAGAAAAGAGCTGCTATAAATATTTTTGTGCATGTGGGTCCTTTTCCCATTTGTATGCTCTCTGTGGTATATAGACCCAGACGTGGTATTGCTGGGTCATAGGGTATGCACATTTTTATAGATCTTTGGGCATAGGTCCAAATTGCTCTCCAGAATGGTTGGATGAGTTCACAACTCCACCAACAATGCATTAGTGTTCCAGTTTTCCCATATCTTCTCCTGTTTTGTTCTATTAGCCAATCTGATAGTGTGATGTGGTACCTCAGAGTCGTTTTAATTTGCATTTCTCTAATCAATAGTGATTTAGAGCATTTTTTCATATGACTAGATAGCTTTAATGTCTTCCTTTGAAAACTGACCATTCATATCCTTTGACCATTTACCAATTGGGGAATGACTTGTATTCTTATAAGTTCGACTCAGTTTTCTATATATTCTAGAAATGAGACCTTTATCAGAGACATTGGTTGCATTGGCTTTGTTTGTGCAAAAATTTTTCAATTTAATGTAATCAGTCATCCATTTTGCATTTAATAATATTCTCTATCTCTTCTTTGGGTATAAATTCTTCCCTTCCCCATAGATCTGATAGGTAAACTATTCCTTGCTCTTCTAGTTTGTTTGTAGTCTCAGCCTTTATATCTAAATCACGTACCCATTTTGACTTTATCTTGGTAAAGGGTGTAAGATGTTGGTCTATGCCTAGTTTCTGCCATAGTTTTCCCAGCAATTTTTGTTAAATAGTGAGTTCTTATCCCAGAAGCTTTGGATTTATCAAATAGTAGATTTAGTATAGTCAATGATTGTTGTGTCTTGCATACCTAACCTGTTCCACTGATCTACCACTCTGTTTCTTAGCCAGTACCAAATAGTTTTGATGATTGCTGCTCTATAATACAATTTAAGACCTGGTACAGCTAGTCTACCTTCCTTTGCATTTCTTTTCATTAGTTCCCTTGGTATTCTGGACCTTTTGTTATTCCAGATGAATTTTGTTATTGTTTTTCCTAGCTCTATAAGATAATTTTTTTGGTAGTTTGATTGGTATGGCACTGAATAAGTAAATTAATTTAGGTAGAATTGTAATTTTTATTATATTAGCTCAGCCTACCCGTGAGCAACTGATATTTTTCCATTTATTTAGATCTGACTTTATTTGCATAAGAGGTGTTTTATAATTATGTTCATGCAGTTCTTGAGTTCATTTCAGCAGATAGACTCCAAATATTTTATAATGTCTACAGTAACTTTAAATGAAATTTCTCTTTCTATCTCTTGTTAAGTTTTGTTAGTAATATATAGAAATCCCGATGATTTATGTGGGTTTATTTTATATCCTGCAACTTTGCTAAATTTATCTCAAGTAATTTTTTACTTGATTGTCTAAGTATATCATTATATCATCTACAAAGGATGATAGCCTTGTTTCTTCTTTGCCTATTCTAATTCCTTCCATTTCTTTATTTTCTCTTATTGCTAAAGCTAACATTTGTAGTTAACTAAGTTATCACCACATAAGAGTGGTGATAATGGACCTTCTTGTTTCACTCCCGATCTTATTGAAAAGGCTTCTAGCTTATCCCCATTATACATAATGCTTGCTGATGGTTTTAGATAGATGCTACCTATCATTTTAAGGAAGGCTCTATTTATTCCTATGCTCTCTAGTGTTTTTAATAGGAATGGGTGTTGTATTTTGTCAAAAGCTTTTTCTGCATCTATTGAGGTCCCCCACTAGTATAGTTTTGTTATCTATTTTTCCCTTAACTCCCTTAACTTCTCCTCTAAGAATTTGGATGCCATACCACTTGGTGCACATATGTTTAGTAATGATATTACTTCATTGTCTATGGCACCTTTAAGCAGGATGTAGTTTCCTTCTTTATCTCTTTTAATTAGATATATTTTTGCTTTTGCTTTGTCTGAGATTAGGATTGCTACCCTTGCTTTTTTCTTTTTTTAACTTCAGCTGAAGCATAATATATTCTGCTCTAGTCTTTTACCTTTACTCTATGTGTGTCCCTCTGCTTCAAATGTGTTTCTTGTAAACAACATATTGTAGGATTATGGGTTCTTAATCCACTGCTATCTGCTTCTATTTTATGGGAGAGTTGATCCCATTCACATTCACAATTATGATTATTATCCGTGTCTTTCTCTCCATCCTATTTCTCCCCATTTATACTTTTCTCTCTCCTTTCTCACTTTTCCACCTCACTAGAGTTTTGCTTCAGACCACTGTCTCCCTCAGTCTGCCCTCCCTTCTATTAGCCCACTCTCTTTTCTTCCCCTTTACCCTTACTGCTTCTTCTCTTTTTTCTATTCACCCCTCCTTCTTCTTTTCCTTTTCCCCTCCTACTTCCTATAGGGTAAGTTAAATTTCTATACCTGATTATGTTATTCCCTCTTTGAACCAAATCTGATGAGAGTAAGGTTTAAACAATACTCATCTCCCTCCCTTCTTTCCCTCTACTGTAATAGATTTTTGTGCCTTTTCATGTGATGCAGTTTACCCTTATCTGCCTCCTCCTTTCCTCTTCTCCCAGTATAATTGTTTTACCAGTGAGGTATTTTATGTTTTCTTCTATTTTTTCATTCTTTTGTTTCTGTTTGACTGATTCTTGATCTTTCATAGAGTCATTAGCTTCCACTTGCCCAAGTCTAATTTTTAATGAATTGTTTTCTTCTGTTAGATTTTGTACCTCCTTTTACATTTGGCCAATTTTACTTTTTAAGGACTTGTTTTCTTCAGGGTACTTTTTCCATTTGACCAATTGTATTTTTTAAGGACTTGTTTTCTACAGTCAATTTTTGTGCTTCCTTTTCCAAGCTATTGACTCTCTTGCATACCTCATTTTTTAAAAAAATTTTTTGGTGAGGCAGTTGGGGTTAAGTGACTTGCCCAGAGTCACACAGCTAGTGATGTTATATGCACCTCATTTTTTTCCCCAACTTTTCTTCTGCCTCTCTTATTTGACTTTTAAAATTCTTCTTGAGCTCTTCCAAGAAGGCTTTTTGGGCTTGAGACCAGTTTATATTCCCTTTGAGGTTTCAGATGTGGGTATATTGACAATGTTGTCCTCTTCTGAATTTGTGCCTTGATCTTCCCTGTCCCCCTGATAAGAATCTATGATCATTGCCAGTTTCTGCTTTTTGCCTATGGTGTTTACCTATTTCCTGACTTAAAGAAAAAAAGTTGAGCTCTCCTGCTGGAGCACAGGGGCCACTGATCCAAGCTTCTTGTGCTGGGAGCCTGGGACCTGGTCACTGACTTTGTGTGCTGGGGCTTCAAGTGCTGGCAGTCTGAGGCTGGTACTGGGTTAGGATCAGCAACACTGGAGCTCTCAGGGTAGTGGTAGGGAGTCTGGTCCCTGGGGGAACACCTACTCACCCAGGCCTTGCACTCAAATGTTTGGCTGCTAGAGAATGTCTATCAGCCTGAGCTTTGCCTCCTGGAGTTGTGTTTCACAAAGTTGTGCTGAGGCACCAAGAGATTTGGCCACTAGAGAATGCCAGTGTATGTAACGGTTTTCCAAGCTGGTGTCTACTGCTTCCCCTGCCTGTACTGAGGTACTTGAGGGGTCCTGGTGTCGGCGCTTGCATGCTCCACCACCCTGGGGCTCAGGATCCCCCCCTGGTATGCTGAGATGGGGCTTGCCCCTGGCTTGCTGGGACATCTCTTTTCCTGTACTGCTCCCCTTCCCCCAAAGCAAGAGGGGCCTTTCCCATTAATCACCAAGCATCCTGGGTTAACAGGACTGCTGTACCCCATCTTTCTGCAGGCTCAGCTGTTCCAGGGTTTTTCCTGGGGTGATATTTTCTGGGCTCTTAGAGGTAAATAAGGGAGGGTGAGAGCAACTTACTACTCACTCCACCTTCTTCTAGAGTCCTTTTCCATTAAATTTGATGTAGCTGTTGTCTGTATATATATTTTTTCTTTCTGTTTATTCCTTATGGCTTTAGTTCATATGAACTTTGAATTCTTCATATTTGTTATTTCATATGGGACAGTGATATTTCATCACATTGATGTATCCATCTTGGTTCGTGCTTCCCCCCAAAATAGATATTCTTTTTTTCAATTCTGTGCTTACACAAAAAATATTGCTATGAATGTTTTGGCGTATACAAAACCATTCTTGCTGTCTTTTACCCCTTCTGCTTTGGGTTAAGGGGTATGAGTCGTTTTGTTATGTTTCTCAAATAATTTCAAGTTGTTTTCCAGGATCGTTGAGCCAATTTATTGCTCACCAACTTTGTTAGTATGCCTGCCTTACCACAGTTCTTCCAACCCTGATCTCATCTTTTGTTACATCACCTATGTCATTTTGCTGGATGTGAGGTGAAACGTCAGTTTCAACATTAATTTCTCTTACTATTAGAAGATTTTTTCATGTGATTATTGAGTTTATTATAGTTGGCCTTGAAAGCTTTTTGTTCATATCTTCTGACCATTAATCTTTTGGACAAATAACTGTATTTCACATCCTGCATATGGTTTTGTTTATAGGAATCCAGTGCACAAATGGATTTGAGTATACAAACAATTGATGACATTAAAAAAATTATCCAAATAGATGGAACTGGAGATACATCTTCAAATGAAGAAATAGGGAGTACGAGAGATGTGGATGAGAATGAATTTCTAGGTATTATTGATGCAGAAGACCTGAAAGTTCTTGAAGAAGAAGGTGATAGTATCTCAAATGAAGATTCAACTACCAATAGCAGTGATAATGAAGAGCCTCAAATAGACGTTGTAGAGGAGGTGATGATTCCTTCAGTGATATGACTAGTTTTATTACATGTAAAACAGTAGTGCCTTAGCCATTTAATCCCCTATGGTTAATAAGTTATTAGGAAGAGTAACCTCTCTCTCTTTCTCTTTTTTTGAGGTGAGGAGTGGGGAAGAGAATATTTTTTTTTTGTTTTACATGGTGGAGTGGTCGATTTTTTTTTAAAATTTCTAAAGTACAATTGAAAACAATGTTACAACAACATTAAAAAAATACTTATCTTCTTGCTTAGATATAGAGGGTGTCAGGAGTAGGTTAAGGAAGACAGGGATGGGGATTGTAAAGTTGGCAAGCATTTTAAAGCAGCAAGTAGGTTTCTCTCTCTCTTAACAAAATGTTGTATGTAGTAGAAATTATTTACTATGGTCACTTTTAATCTTTAGGACCCTTTAAATTCTGGGGATGATGTTAGTGAGCAGGATGTGCCAGACCTGTTTGACACGGATAATGTAATAGTCTGTCAGTATGACAAGGTACGGTATGCATCTCTCCACCCTTGGGTTTATTAATGAAATTTGATGTATGCAAAAGTCATGCTCTCTGTGATGGAAAAACTAGTATTTGTGTCTGCTTAGCATTTAACTTAGGTTATCCTTGAAAGAGGCTATTAGAATAAGTATATGTTGAAGGCTTCCTCTGAGCCTTTAAGTTTTGGGAGATAAAAGAGTTGAGACTGAAAGACATACAGCAATTAGAGAAAAATCCCAAACAGTACGTGACAAATTACTCAATTTAAAAAGAATTAAGTGCTAAAAATGCCTCATACAGACCAATGCTGTGGGTGGTCAGGAAGAACAATTCAATGGAGCAGATGTTTATTAAGCATCTACACTGTATACAGTGGAATGTGTGGCACAGGGGGAGATAAAAAGCTTGGATAAGACAATTATAATTGAACAGCTCAGCTTCCTCTCTGCTGTCAGTCATCATTGTCTGAGCTAATTAGAATAGAAATCTTCTTTTGTCAGTTCTCTTCTTTTCCTCATTATAGTTAAAAACAACTCCTAGGTTCTTTTTTGAGAGTTTCCTGTCCCTTTTGAATTGCCTTCCTTTTCAGAATCTCAGGACGTGTGATTGTCCCTCATTTCTCTGAAGTTAACTGAGAGCCATAAAATTCAATTCAACAAGCATTTGAAAGCGTAAAGGTCCTTCATGAACAAACTATGCCTTAATGTTGTGAGATACATAAAACATTGATCTTGACTGTAGGTTCCAAAGGGTTCTTGTCCCTCCTTTCATGGTGCTTGTGATGCTGTAGGGGAACAAAACGTTAATTGTGAGACTCCCTGTTACCTGACTGAAGAAGGGTCGCGAAGCAATGTGCTCCGCTGAGCCTGGAGGACCAGAAGAGGGAAGAGAGCTCAGGAAAGTTTCATGAGGAGAATTGTCATTTGAGTCAGAGTTTAAAGGATGCTGGATAAGAACTCATTGGGTGAAGAGAGCAGAGGGAGGACATCTTAGGTCTGGAGAACAGGTGTGGGAAAGGGCAGGCTAGATGCAGGTGGCAAAGATTCTAGAGTGGCTTGGTAGACTTCATGGAGAGGAATAGATGTAATCTCAGGCCTTGAGGGCCTCACATGTTGTGTGAACTATTAGCATACATTGCCATCACAGTAGCCCCTTAAATAAACAAAGTGATATATTCATTTAAAACAGAGTGTTTAGATGGGAGATCTCCCCTCCCATCCACGTCAGAGTGCTGTCTTCCCTCTTGACAGCCAAGATAACTAACACTTAGCAATATCAGAAAATTTAGTACTGGATAGTTGATGCTCACTGTCATTAGCTCTTGACTAGTAGTGGCAGGGTTTGGAGGGAGGAGAGAATCACTGACTTGAAGTCTCTTATAAAATAAGACTGTAAATCTTCTGAAATTTGTATTAAAATGATATTTACATTCTTGTTTGGGTTTAGTTAATTTTAAGATGCTAGGGCCCATGAAAACCAAAGGATTGTATCCAAGATGCAGAAGAAGGTCAGAGTAATGGTCAGCAAACCCGTGCCTGGGAGAAGGTGCTCTCTTCTTGTTAATGGGCTATCTTCTATCTCTCTCTGCTGCATCTGGGCTTACCCTTGTCCCTCTGGAGCCCTCTTGAGCTGACTCAAGGAGGAAAATGTTTCTTTAAGAAATCTTCCACAAAGGAAGAGACTGTTCTTCACCCACAGTTGGACCTAATCTGATCAGCATTTTCTTTCATTCATAAATGGTCCTGAGTCCAGGCCCCAGGACAATGTGATAAGTAGAATGGTAGTATGAGATCCTTCTGGTCTGTCCTAATAAATCCCCTAGAATAGGGGAACTTAGGTCATACCGGGTTTTACTCAGTCATATGTAGTATTGTGACAGGAATCTAGTCCAGGCAGTTCTACTATAATGCATGTTTGGAAAATTCAGTTTTGTTCAAATTGATTGATATATTAGGGAACATCTGAGCATAAATGATTCTCCAGTTTGCTTCTTTCCAATTTCTTCTGTGAGAAACAGCAAGAATGCAGAAAACTGCGCCCCTTCACAATCACTCACAGGCTGCAACCTTCTGACACCCATTTCCACAAGCAAACTTTAGATCATTTTCAAGGTAAAGTGGCATATTAATTGTATATCTTTTGGTGTAGTAGGAGATGTGGGCAGAAGAGGACTGGTGCGCACCAACCCCACCCCATCCCCTGCCTCCATGGCCTCAGGCTCAGCAGCAACCCGAGGCTGCTCATGGGACCACTATTTATTGTAGTGTTTAAGTATTTCTTAATGTGTGAAATTGCTATTTTTTAAAATGAAGTTCCTATTTTTAAAAAATGTATTACCAATGAAGTTTTTGAGCCTTATGCCCCTAACTTTCCCCATAAACTCTGTGGTTTTTATTGAATGGTTTTGTATAGCAGGGTAATTTTTGGGAACACATCTCCTTATAGCAGAACTGATTGTGTATTTCACTATAGACTTTCACATTGTCTTAGATCTTCATTGCCTGTACTTACTAGGGAGTCCTTAATGGAGCAAATGGAACTTGAGTTGGACTTAAAAGAATCTGAATAAAAAGGGAGGTTATGGAAGGGCAGTTAGGTGGTGCAGTGGTTAGAGCACCAGCCCTGAAGTCAGGAGGACCTTAGTTCAAATCTGTCCTCAGATACTCACTAGCTGTGTGAACCTTGGTAAGTCACTTAACCCCGATTATCCCTCCTCCCAAAAAGAAAAAGAGAAAGAAAAGGAGGTTATGGGATTGGGGAAGGAGAGTTAGGGCACAGTAATGGCATAAACAGAGGTATCGAGGTGAGAACGTATTCCAGGATGGTTAGGACAGACCTTTCTGAAAGAGTATGCTTCTGAATATACTAGGAAATACTTGAATGGTTAGGACCTGGAACATCAGGCTAATGAACTTGATCTAATAGGCAGTAGGGAATTAATATCTATGTTCTTGAGCAGCAAAGTGATATTATGAAGGTATGTTTCAGAAAGAATAGTGGTATGTAGGTTAAATTTCAAGGAATAGCCTTGAAGTAAGGAGAAAGATGGATAATCCAGGCATGAGGTGGTGAGGTCCTGGAGTAGAGAAAGAAGTCTATAGATTACTACTAGAGTTCACACTTGGCAACTTGGGAGAATGGTTATTGTATTGGTATTGTATTGTATTGTATTGGTAAATAGGGAAGTGTTTTTTTTTTTAAATACCTGTTGTGCTTTCATACCACAGGACTTTTGTACTTTTTGTACTTTGTCTGTATTATGGTTGGGACTCCAACTCAACACTGTCCCCTTCTCGAGTCCCTTGCCCATTTATTATATCTCCAATCTTGCCCTGCCAAGACTTGGACTTGATTCAGTCTCACCATCAGCTGCCTTTGCTCCTATACGTATACTGCTAAATGAAGCTGGGGAAAATCATGAAACTGTGCTGACTGGGTCTGCTGTAGTTTTATGTTCTATAACTTCACCTGGGGCCTCACTGCTGCCAGGTGAGCCTTTTATACCTCCCTATTGAACTCATTCTTCCACTCATCACAGCAGATCTTCCATACCTTTTCATCTCACCCCAAACCTTCCATGGCTTCCTCTTCCTGTTCTCCCTCAAATGAGAACTTTGCCTCATATTACAAGAAAGATCGAGGCCATTCACCAAGAGCTCCCTTGGCTCCCCTCCTCATTTCACATTGCCCAGATGCCTCCTGCCACTCTTTTCCTTCACTCTTGTCTCTCATGAAGAGGTGGCCCTTCTTGCCAAGGTCAGCGTTTCTATATGCACAAATGATTCCCTTCAATCCTGTCTTTCCCAACAGATTGCCCCCTCTATTATCCCCATTCTTTTATTTTCAGTCTCTTCCTGTCTCCTGGCTATTTCCTTACTGTCTAGAAACATGCCCATGTTTCCTCCGTTCGCAAAAACTTTTATCCATCCATCTCTGCTAGCGATTACCCTATATCTCATCTCTCTTTTGGTGGCTAAACTCCTTCAGAAGGCCATCTACAATTGGTGTTTCTACTTCCTCTTCTTTCACTTGTTCTTTTAAACTCTGCATTTTGGCTTCTGGCCTCATCATTCCACTGAAGTTGCTCTCTCTAGAGTTATCAGTGATCTCTTTACTGCCAAATTCAGTGGCCTTGTCTCAGTCCTCATCCTTGACCTCTCTGCAACCTTTGACACTACCGATTACCTTCTTCTTGATATCCTCTTCTCTTTAGATTTTCGTGATATCACTCTGTCCTGGTTCTCATATCTGTCTGACTGCTCCTTCCCAGTCTTCTTTGCTGACTCTCTCCTCTGGGGTGTAGTCTTTGTCTTTGAAAGTGAGACCTAACTATTGCTTTGCTAAAGGGGCTAGGCTACTAACCTTTTCAGTAGGGGTTAGTGTGTTTTTCCTGGTGTATTGTTTTTTAGGCACAGTGTCTAGTATGTGTTAAATGCTAAATAAATTCATTTTGAGTTGAAATATTATATAAGGTGTGGGGGTAGATTCTTCCTGTGTGACACACATTCCTTTTTATTAATGATTATTTGTAATGAGCACTTTATGTAGCAAAGGAACACTTTTAAAAAATTTATTTAACTTGTAAAATTTTTCTGTTTCATAGATAATTTTGTGTAATTTTAACACGGTTTCTTTTTCACTTTCAGATTCATCGAAGCAAAAACAAATGGAAATTTTACTTGAAAGATGGTGTCATGTGCTTTGGAGGGAAAGACTATGTGTTTGCCAAAGCTATTGGAGATGCAGAGTGGTAAATCTTGTGTGCTCTGTTTATCAGCATTTTATGTCTATGTAGACATAAATGAGAGTATACTAAATATTCTGAATTTTTTTTTGTTTTAAATAAAATAGTTTACCAAACATGCTAATGTACAAAATTAGGAGAACCTGTGTGTTTACATTGCAGATACATGGCAAAAGTACAATTCTTTTTTTCCTTGTTTTGTTCCCATTAGTTAACTGATTCTTCCCATTATCTGTATTCTGTAAAATATAGGTATTTAGCTTTATTTGATTTCTAAAGTGATGATGATTGCCAGTAATTGTTCCAGAAACAATAGTACAACAGGAAGAATGCCCTAGTTTTTCATTATTTGAAGTCATTTCTGGTTTCTTCTGCTTGCTAAAAAAAAAAAAATAGGTGTCATTATTTTGTACAATGGCATATTGTAGGTGTATACCTATTAAGTTGGTAATTAGTGATTTATCTTTTTTTTTTGTTTAAAAAGAAGCAAGCATGAGGAAGTTGAGAAAGTTGCCGTGGTAATGTTCAAAGTGAAATAGCATATATTTCTCATAAAAAGGGTTAATGCTCTTGCTCTCAACATTTTGACTAGGTTGGATTGCCTGCAGTGAAACTGGTGAAGTGGGAACATATGGGATTGTGATAAAGCTATTGAAGCAGTTCAGAAAAAATTCTGGAATTTAAAATTTTTCCAGGTTCTACATTTGGAATTCAAATGATATTTTTTGACCACATTTGACGTTTTATAAAATACTGAGCTTTTGAAGAAAAAATAAAGCCATTTGTGTGTTCTCATGTAATATGTATCCCTAATAATAATTAACTTAGCACTATATAAAATTGTTGTAGTTATACTGAGCAGTTGAATCTCTGTCCCAGTTCTCTACCAAGCTTAAATTAAAGTGATTAAAATTTTTCTTTGTAGAAGTTTTAATTTGGGGAGAGGAATTGATTTTTAGTTCATTGAAGAAGAAAATAATATACCTGTTTAGCTATTACCATTGCAGAATCACTTTCTCTACCTTCTCTCTCATTCTTTCTCTCCTATTGGCAAGCCATTCCTAGCATTATTTACCAGAAACTCATCAGTGCAGTTGATATCATGAACGTTAGTTACGGGATATCAGTATACAAATCTTTTCTTTGAGTCACGGGACCTATTGGTTAATATTACTTAAGTTGTAGTTTATATGGACTAAGCAGCACTTTGAAACCTTAAAGTGCTTAGGAATGTGAATAGTATAGTTGCCCATGCCTGGAGTGCCCTTCCTCCTCACCTCTGTCTCCTGGCTCCCCTGGCCTCCTTCACGTCCCAGCTTAACTCTCACCTTCTCCAGGAAGTCTTTTTTTGCTCTTCTTTAATGCTGGTGCCTTCATTCTGTTGATTATTTCCTATTTATCCTCTGTGTAGTTTGCCTACCTGTTGTCTCCCCTGTTAGACTGTGAGCTTCTTGAGATTTGGGACTGTCTTTTGACTTTCTTTGTATCCCCCAGAGCTTAGCACAATGCCTGACACATAGTATGTGATTAATCAGTGGTTATTGACTGACTGACTAGTGTTACTTGAAGCTCCAGTTATTATTCTCTTAACTTTAAGATCTTAGGCAAAGTGCTTAATCTCTTTGGGTCTCAGTTGGATTCGATAGTCTGTAAGGCTATTTCATTTTAAAATCCCGTAACTGTGAATAAGTTTAGAAGTAGCTATTTTGTATTAAGCTTTGGGCTTTGTGTAGTGGAGGATATAAGAAAAGGGGTAAGATGGTTTCTGAGCTTACTATCTAACTGGGGAGGCAAAGCATGAAATAATTTGAGGAAAAAGTAAATACTAAACTTTATTAGCAATTGAGCCCAGTAGGAGTTCAGAAAAAGGATTCATTTGGGCTGGAATAGAGGGAGGTTCCTTGCTGGGTTTTTCCTACACCTGTAAAATCCTAGATCTGCACCCAAAAAATTCTTTTATAGTAGTATTATCATGAACTTTTGAAGAAAAACTGAAATAAATAGGTGGTTTCCCGGGAGAAGGGTTTGAACTTGAACTAGATCAGGATTTAGATCAGCCTAGAAGAGAGGGGAGGGTACCAGGCAGGGGCAATAATAAGTAAATAAATCAGTAGGAATGAATATGTAGGGTTTGGAAAGTGACAAGTGGGAGGTGGGTGTTAGGCAAATACAATTAGATAGCAAAAGTGAAGCCCAGGTAATGGAGGACCTCAAAAGTGAAATAGTGGAATTTGGACTACTTAGGCCTCAGTATCTGTGTCTGTGAAATGAGGGGGTTGGATGGCTGGGGTCCTTATCAGAATTCTGTGACTATGATTCAGTAGTTGATAGGGAGCCACTGTAATTTCCCAGGCAGGGGAGTGACAGGATAAAAGTAATGTTTTAGGAACATTGATTTGCAGCTGTATGCAGCTTTCATTTAAAGGGGGGAGAGATCTTGGATTCTTCACCCTTCCCTTTTTCTCCCTTCTCTTCTCCGCTCCTTTTCCTCCCCTCTTCTTAACCCTCCACTCCCCTCTCCTCCTCCTCTCTCCTTCCCTCCATCATTTTTCCTTCTTCCTTCCCCTGACCTAGACAATGCAGTGGTGGAGATAGCCAAGGAGACCACGGAGCCTGCTGAGGTGGACATCACGGGACTGTGCCAGGACGTTGTCCAAAATGGCCACGTACCTGACAGACACCAGTGAAGACTATAAACTTCTGTATATATGAACAAACTAACTATCTTGAAGTATCTCAAAATGAAATGTATTGCAGTAAACATAAGTAGAAACCTAAAGGACTTAAATCAGAAATATGTAGCACTTCAGCCTTATCTGAATCAGATCACTTTAATTGAGGAGCAAATAGTGTCTTGGAGCAGGCAGCCTATAAGTTGGAAGCATATTCAAAGAACTAGAATCAAAGTACGAGAAATAGGCAATGAAAGAACTCTTTAGCACAAAGACTTTAATCATCAGAGCTGAAATAAGTGGGATGGAACTTATCAAACTTCTATGCGTTCCTCAAAGGAAGTGATCCTGATCCAAGGAGAATCCCAGCCCCCCCCTCAGGATGGATGTGTAACTTTGGCCATTCCTTGATGTTTTCCTAAACCTGTAGCCCCTGGAACCTCATCTTATTGTGTGCTCTAGACCAAGGCTCAGAAGTCAGGATCAACCCCATCTAGAGCAGACAGATGAGAGGCTATGGTTTCCCTGTCTCCTCCCTCCTCCCCATCCCCTGGGGTTCCATCTTTGATTCTTTGTTCTGAATGCGTCCCCCACTGCCTTCATGACCCATTCTTGAACTTAAATAATAAATGCCAACTTATGACCCTAAAAAAATAAAGGAGGGAGAGCCTAGAGATGGAGGAGTCAAGTGAGTAGCTGTGGTAGGAACTTAAAATGGTGGTTTGAGTGTGAATGGAGAGAAGAAGGATGAATTTGATAGAAATTTGCAAGGAAGAAATGCCAGGACTTAATATCGGGTTATAGGAATGAAGGAAGAGGAAAGGTCAAGAAAGTGTTTCCAAGCTTATTAACATGAGGGACTAAAAGAATTATGCAGTTGAAAAGGGGGAATTCCCTTCTGGATCACTGTCTTGTTATGGTGGAGGGACTTGCTTAGCTCAGTGAAACTATGAGCTAAAGCCTTTGTGTGGATCACAACAAGATGTGGTAAGTTCTCGAAGAGATGGGAGTACCAGATCACGTATCCTGAGGAACCTGTATAAAAGCAAGAATCAGCAGTTAGAACTGAACGTGGAACAACTGATTGGTTTAAGATTGGAAAAGGAGTATGACAAGTCTGTATATTGTTGCATGATTTGTTTAAACTTATATGCAGAGTAGTATATCATGAGAAATGCCAGGCTGGACAAATCAAAAGCCAGAATTCAGGCTGTTGGGTGAAATATCACAATCTCAGATATACAAATGATACCACTCTGATGGAAGGAAGTGAAGAAGAATTAAGAAACCTCTAGATGAAGGTGAAAGAGGAGAGTGTAAAAGCTGGTTTAAAGCTTCACATCAGAAAACCAAAGATCTTGGCAACTGGTCGCATCACCTCCTGACAAACAGAAGGAAAAAAAATGGAAGCAGTGTCATATTTTATGTTCTTAGACTCGAAGATCATTGCAGACGATGATTGCAGCCATGAAATTAAAAGACACTCCTTGGAAGGGAAGCTATGGCAAATCTGGAGAGCATAATAAAAGGCAGAGCCATCACCTTGCCAACAAAAGTTCATAGAATCAAAGCTATGGTTTTTTTTTTTTGGTACCAGTGTATGGCTGTGAGTTGGATTATAAGTAAAACTGAGCACCACAGAATTGATGGTTTTGAATTGTGGTGCTGGAGTAGACTTTTGAGAGTCCTTTAGACAGCAAGGAAATCACATCAGTCAATAATTAAAGAAATTAATTCACTGGAAATTATTCACTGGGAGGTCAAATACTAAAGCTGAAACTTAAGTACTTTGGTCACATAATGAGAAGATGGGACTCATTTTAAAAGACCCTCATTTTGGGAAAGATTGAAGGAAAAAGGAAAAGGTGATGGCAGAGAATGAGATGGATAGTGTCATACAAACAATGAACATGAACTTGGACAGACTTTGAGAGATAGTGGAGAATGGAAAGGCTTGATGTGTTATAATCCATGAGGTCAGGAAGAGTCAGGCATGACAGTGACTGAACATCAAAAAGGGGAAATTAATTTTGTGAGAGATGGCATTAAAAAATACTTTTTCCCCCCTCAGGCAAAATTGCTCAAAGTTTTATTAAAGGATAGTTGGCCAAGTTGGGGAACATTGCCTTTTTGAGTCACTCCCAATCCTTAAATGATTGGAGTGCCTTATGTATATCACCAAACAGAAGAGTATAGTATCTGGGAGAGGTCAGGGTATCTGTTAGATCTAGACTTTCCTTGCAGTGTAGATCAAAGCATTTGGCTGTAAAACAGAGTTATTGATGGAGGGCATTAACTTAAGAGTTACTGAAGGGTCATTTAGATTAGCCTGGTTTTGACAACATGATGACACCTTTGTAGGCACAGGAATATATAATTTGTGGGAAAAGAGAAATAAGGTGAGGATAATGAGATCCATGCC